GTAGGTTGGGTTAGTTAAGCTCCTGTGACTCACCTGAATGTAATTTGTTATGCTTTGATAAGTAATCCACAACTTCTAGACCAGTGCTATCCAACAGAAATTTCTGTGACAATGGATGTATTCTACATCAGCACTGTCCAATATGGTATCCACCAGTCATGTGTGTCTGCTGGGCACTTAAAATGTGGCTAGTATCCCTAAGGAAATTATTCTTTTCTACTTAATTTTAATTATTTTAAATAGGCATATGGTGTTACTAGCTACTGGTTAGGACAGTGCATTTCTAGACCCTGTAGTCTCTGCTTTCTAAGAAGCAATAATTGATTTGAGTATTTACCACTTTCTGGCTACGTGGCTTTAGGAAAATGACTTCACCTTTCTGTTCCTTCGTATTCCTTGCTTTAAAACAGAGATAGCATGGCACCACCTCATTAGGGTGTTAAACAATGCTTAGATCAATGCCTGGCACATAATAAGTTCTCAGTAAACATTAGGTTTTATAAACTGCATTGGGCTCACTGTTACCTGCTATTGGCTATCTGTTATAAAATTAGCATTTATTAAGTACCATTTTTACTTAATATTCACAGAAAACAAACAACTTTGATCTGTAGGTTTCATTATCCCATTTTATAGATGGGGACATTGAGGCCCAGGGAATTTTAGTGACTTGCTCAAAGTTACACAACTAAGAAACGACAGAAGTGAGAGTAAAACCCAGTTTCCTTGACTGAAGATCCAGGACTCGTTTCGTGCCACCACAGCTGCTTGGCTTTTGGTAGCATTTGAGGCCCCACCAGCATCTATTCCCTTCAAGTGGGTGCTGGCACTGGGAGCTGGCGGGGCCACCTGTCTGCAGGGACCGCGCTGAGCTCTTGGTGCCCAAGGCCCTCAGCTGCCAGTCGCCCGAGCACACTCATGTAATCTTAATGAACAATGTGCAAAGCCATTAAAAACTCAATTAGGACTTTCTTTTTACTGCCGACGTGAGGAAATGCAATCCTGAGGTGCTCATGTGTAAACACAATAGCCGCCATCTGCTATGGAGAAGCGTTTTGCCTCCAAAAAGGGGATCTGTGTTGCAGACACATCAATAACGAGGCGCTTATCAAGGCATTATTATGCACGAAGGGGAAAAATGCAAAATTTATCACCAGCCAGAGAGTACTTCCTGGTTTAATTCCACAACTTTCAGTGCTATGTATAATAACTATGAGGAAACTAATGCTGTTTTATGTTCCTTATCACGTTAGTAGACTTTTTTTTTTTTTTTAAGGGAGAAGGGAAAAGAATGTATTTACAGTCTTTCTCTTTCTTGTTTCTGACTGATCTTGGCGTAATGACCAGCTCAGTTTTGATCTCCGGGAAACTGACAGCCCTGGGATGATATTAATTATGCCAACCTGTTGATCAAAGCGGGACCCACAGAGTTGATGATATATAAGGGTTTTTACTCCTGAACAGTCTCTAGTGGAGGGCTTGGGCTCAACTGGCAGATACGGCTCCCTTCCTTTCTGGAGGGTGTGATCAGACCTGTATAAGGTGGGCTACATGTGCAGGGGGCTAGAGATGGCCACTGGATCCCACCCCCAAGACCTTACACTAGCATTGCTGGATGTTTCTGTGCCTTTGCCTGGGCTGTTCTCTCTATTTCAAATGCCTCCCAAGTTACCCCCCAGGCTTGCTGCTCTTCGTGATATCCTTACGTAGACTGTCTTGCACCTTTGCTTAGTAGCTACTGTTCCACATCCTATTGCCTTGAATAAAGGCACTTGTAGCTGAATGACAGTTTATTCCCTCTTTACTTAAAATCCAAGATGAGTGCTCCTAATAGGTGAGTAGCCTTCTGTGTGGTTGTGCTCATTCAGGGACCTGGTTTCTTTTATGGTGCTCTGCCCTCCCCTAGGCTCCTGAGATCCAGGACATTCAGCTGGTAGATGGGAAAATAGAATGGGCCAATGATTCTCACCACTTTATGTACATGCAGATCCCCTGGGGATCTTGATAAAATGCAGATCCAGACTCATTAGGCCTGGGGGTGGATATCAGATTCTTGTTTCTCACAAGCTCCCAGGTGACACTGGGATGACTGGTTCAAGGACCAGTCTTTGAGAGGCAAGATCATTTAGTATGGAGGTGTGGGAATGAGAAGGAGGCAGCTTTTACCGACCAGGCCTGGAAAGTGGCAAACGTCATACTCATGCCCCATTATCTAGAACTCAGTTGCACGTCCCCACCAAATGCTAAAGGGAGGCTGGAAGACATAATCTAGCTGTGTGCCCAGAACAGTGTTACAGGGTTGTACATGAAGCTACATGGAACAGGGCAATCTCTACCTCCTCAGCGAGCCTGCCCTGCTACTGAAGCTAGGATGGAAAGAAGTGGGAACATGAGCTGGTGAAAGGAAAACCTTCCCAAGTCTCTCTACAGTGGATCGTAAGGAGCCAAGGGTACATGTGCCTGCGGTGTCAATTGGCAGGAGGACAGCAGCTGAAATGTGCATGCGGGTATCATGGGATTCAGAAAGGAGAGAGACACTTTGCTTCTCAGGCTGCTTCCTCTGCTGGGAGATGTGCTACTCCTCAGTGGCAGAGACAGTCACAAACCCTTTGTGGGGCTTGTGAGTTGCTACTTATCTGTTCAAGGAAACCCTCTGGAACCCTGTGGCATGTTGGCCAGCAGACAGATATGGGCATGGATGCAGGCTCTGTCTCATCTCTAAGCCTCAATTTCTGCCCCTGTAATTGCTCCTTTTTAGCTGCCCCATTGCGAGTTTATGATAATTCGATAACTTTCCTGACATATACAGACATCTCTCTGCTTACCTTGTGTTACTGCAAGGCCATAAAACTAGGAAGCTTTACTCCCTTAGAAACACTGGCAAAGACACCCACACCTTTGTTCCACTTCCAGTGGCTCCTTCCCCAGGCGGTGCTACATATTCTGAAATCATGACTTTCGCGGCCATATGGATGGAACTAGAGACAATAATCTTAAGTGAAGTAACTCCAAAATAGAAAATCAATACGGCCTGTTCTCACTTAGAAGTGGTAGCTAAATAATGCGTACACATGGATGCAGAGTGTAAAATGATATACATTGGAGGCTTGGAAGGGTTGGCGGGTGGGAGGGGGGTGAGAAATGAGAAATTACTTAATGGATACAATATACATTATTTGGTTGCTAGTCACACTAGAAGGCCAGACTTTGCCACTATGCAGCATGTCCATGTAACACAGCTGAACTTGTATCCCTTATATTTACACAAACATTTTTCTCATTGGTAGGATGGCAAAAACCTGTTAGCCACTGGCTCATGTTTCTCTGTGCTTTTCACCTGGCTGCTTTGTGGTACAAGCCCACCCAGCTATCCTAAGTGGTCATCCTAGTAAGACAGCTGTGGCCCTAGGGATCTGGGCAGAGTTGGAGGGTGGGTCTGTGGCCATCCCCCTGCTCTGCATGGTGCTTCAGGGGGAACATGCAGAAAGTCTAATTTGGCCTTAAGTCCAAGTTACTTTGTGAATAACGATGTGGAGGTTTTGAACTCCTCTCTCTCTGTTTCTCTCTTTCTCTTTCTCTCTCTTGTGTCTGTTTTTAAATTCACTCAGAACCTGCAGGAGACAGGATTTGATTGGTACCTTCTAGAATCCCAAGAAGTTACAGGTTTCTCAGCACTTATTAACTGGGAGCTGTTAGTCTTTTTGGTATTAGAGTGAAAGAATTAGGTGACTTTTAGCTATTGAAGTAGCTCACCTTGGCTGAGGATAAGTGGTCTTAAAGTTTGTTTCTGAATTGAAGATTTTAGTGTTTTTCTAGGTGGAAACATTCCTTCTGGAATCACCTGAGTTTATCTGCTGTGTTTCATGATGCAGTTTATTTCATAGAATCGTAAGACTCTAAGACACAGAGCTCAGCCCTCCCAGTTGCTTGTGAAATTTCCTTAACTATCTCTTTAATTTGTCCAGCCTCTGTTTTGCCACCTGCATTGATGGGGACTCACTTTATCTCTGGCCAGTCCTTTCTATTTTGCACCAACTTCACTTGTTAGAAAGTTCTTTGTACACTGAACTGAAATGTGCCCCCTCATGGTTTCTTTCATGAGTCTGCCCTCTCAGGCAGCTTTATCAATAAGCTATTGTCACAATAAGCTGCTTGACACACTGAGAAGAAACTCGGTGGCAAACAATAAGCATTTATTCTAGCTCTCATGAAACTGTGCATTGATTGTAGATTGGCTGATCTAGGTTGGGCTTTTGGGCCATGTGGCTGTGATTCCAGCTGCAGGGGTGGCATGGCTTGGTTCTTTACTATCAGTTCAAGTCAGGTATCTTCCATGTGTGTATTCTTCATCCCAAGCTGAAAGGGGCAGCAGCTACTGGGGGCACATTCTTCTCATGAAAGGTAGCAGTAGTGCAAGACGGTAAGCCCAGCAGGGCGAGCACATTTTAACCTTTGCTTGAGTTATTCTGTTAGCATCCTATTGACCAAAGCAAGTCATGTGGTAGAGCCCAAAGTCAAGGGATGGGGATATACCCTCTGTTTCTGCTGGAAGGAACTGCAAAGCCAATGGCAAGGGACATGGATCCAGGAGGGATAAAGAATTGGAAACAACCATTTAATTTGCCAAAGCAACTCAAAAGAGGCTCACTTCATCTATACAAGACAACATTTTGAATGTTTGGAGATGTTTTCTGCCAACAGTAATAGTAGCTATGTTTTCTCAAATAGCAATAGTAGCACCTTGTAGAAATATTTCATACATGTTACCATCTCTTAGTTCTTAAAACCACCTTATTGAATAGATTTTTTATTCCCAAATACAGAAGAGGATACTTAGGCTCAGAGAGATGTGGCTTTCACAGGGTCACCGAGGCCCTCCTAGACTGACTTGATCTCTGGCCGCTCCTCTGGCCACCATGTTTATGGGTATGACTGGTTTTCAGAAGTATTTTCTTACTTTCTCTTTGTCTCTACTTCCCACCTGCTTTGTGGGTCTCCAGGATCTTTCATGATGGTGAACAGCTCTGGGAGAGCCTCTGGCCAGAAGGCCCACCTTCTCCTGCCGACCCTGAAGGAGAATGATACCCACTGCATCGACTTCCATTACTACTTCTCCAGCCGTGACAGGTCCAGCCCAGGGGCCTTGAACGTCTACGTGAAGGTGAATGGTGGCCCCCAAGGGAACCCCGTCTGGAATGTGTCCGGGGTCGTCACTGAGGGCTGGGTGAAGGCAGAGCTCGCCATCAGCACTTTCTGGCCGCATTTCTATCAGGTATGGCATTTACCATGGTTTTATGTTTGAAAATTAGTGATAAATCTATACACCTCTTGCTCTCCATACAGGTGCTGGGTCTAGAAAGGACTTCATTTATTTACTCGTGTTTACTGGGCTTCTCCTCCTAGCCAAGCTCTGCAGAGGTGACCCAATATAGCCCCTGCCCCACTTGAATTCATTGTTTGTAGGAAAAGACTGATATGTAAATAAAATGACAATATACCAGGATGCGTGTGGCTCCTGACGATGCTGGAGGAACATAGGCACTGATTCCTTTTTATAAAGTCAGTGCTTATGACATGATGAAGGAGATTCTAGTACTATCCTACTTTATGGATGAAAAGATTGAGGTTTGGAGAGATGAGTTAACTAGTCAAAGATCACCCTCTGGGGAATGGGGCGTTTGCTAGGGAAGGCAATTAGGATGGTTTGTAAGAGGAGATGACATCTAAGACGAATCTTGAAGAATGAATACAAATTTATTTTAAAAGGCAGGGAGGGAAAGGCATTTGAGTTGTCAAGGACAGTGTGTCCGATGAGCTAGAGGGATGGATGATAGATGATGGCAGAGTTTGGAAAGTCTAAGTTGTTTAAGGTACATTGCAAAGGGGACAGACAGGGAGATCAGCCTGCAGGGACAAGCGGATCATGGGGGGCTTTTAATGTCAGGCTAATGGATGGAACTTAGCTTAAAGCAGTGCTGTTCCTACTGCCCATGGTGAAGGGATGCTTTTCCTCCCCGCTCTTTGTGGAGCAATACTCTTATAAACGGTGGTTAAAAAATAAATCATGGCAATGCCAAATTGCCGTAACAGTTCCTAAACCTCTCTCTTTCCTTCCTTACCTCCTTGTGAACTGATGCACACAGTGCACAGATTGGCACCAATCCATAAAGCAGGCTTAGAGGAACACTCTCCACATTGTCTTGGCTTGGGGCTGTTGAAAGTTTTATTGTTTTTTTAACAATGTTATTAAGGTAAAATGTACATATCACAGAATCCACCTATTTTAAGTATGCAATCCCGTGACTTTAGAAAACCTGTTGAATTGTGCAACCGTCATCATAAACCAGTCCAGAACATGTTCATCATCCCAGTAAGATACCCTGTGCTCATTTGCAGTTAATCACCACGTGCACTGTTGAAAGGTGTTAGATTAGAGAGTGAGGCGGTCACATCTGCATTTTGGAGAAATTTCTCTAGCGTTGGAAGCAGAAGATGAACCAGTGGCTGAGAGCTTCTTAGACTTCCTCCAAGTTAATATCCATGGTACAGTTCTTCCAGATTTTAGTGTTAGGAATACATTTATCTATTGAGATCACTTGTTGGGTTTACCTTAATGAGACAATTCAAGCTTTATTCCCTTTTGCCTTGGTAACGAGAAATCAGAATTTAATACTCAATTACCCTCAATATTTAACCTGGATTTTTGCCATGCATATTTCAATTTTATCCTCAATGGCTTGTGATTTCCTTTTAGAATAATTTTATTTTTCTTCATGATGCATTTCCTGAAATTCCTTTTAGAAATCGGGGAGAGGTTATGATGATGATGGTGATGGTGGTGATGATGATACCTACCGTTCATTGGGTATTTATCATGTCCAGGCACAGTACAAAATATTTCACATACATTACCTCATTTAATCTTCACAACAATCCTTTGAGGCAGGTACTACTATACCCATTTTATAGGCGATGAAACGAAGGCTCAGAAATGGTAAGTGATAACCCAAGCTCTAACGGAGGTAGTGCCTTGTTTTTTTATCCATTCTGTTTGATTTCACTGTCTAAGCTAGTATAATCCAATATAAATATAATGGGAATCACATGTGCCATTTATAAATGTTTAGTAGCCACATTAAAAAGTAAAAGGAAATCAGTGAAATTAATTTGTGTGTGTGCAAGCTCCGCCTCCCGGGTTCACGCCTTTCTCCTGCCTCAGCCTCCTGAGTAGCTGGGACTATAGGCACCCGCCACCACACCTGGCTGTTTTATATTTTTAGTAGAGACGGGGTTTCATCGTGTTAGCCAGGATGGTCTTGATTTCCTGGACTTGTGATCCACCCGCCTTGGCCTCCCAATTTTAATAATATACTTTACTTAACCCAATGTATCCAAAATACTATCACTTCGACATGTAATCAATCTAAACAATTATTAGTGAGATGTTTTCTGCTCTCTCCCTGTCAGTCTTTATAATTCAGTCTATATTTTACACTTACAGTAAGTCTCAATTTAAATGTTTTATTTTCATTAGTAATACTGATCTGTATTTAGATTCATAAAATGTATAGCTGAAGAAGTGGATACATATACACAAGTTGTTCCAAATATTCTTAAGTGAATTGGGTATCAGTTTTTAAATTAAATTTTAAGGTAACTGAAGTTAAGTAAAATGAGAAGTTCAGTTTCCCAGTCTCATTAGCCACACTTCAGTAGCTAGTGGTTGTCAAATTAGTACAGATCATAATTCTTAACCACTTGGCTCTACAATTTCCCCTAGTAGAGTTCTTGAAAGGCTTAGCCATGCCTAGAGCATGTGGGTGGGGAGATGAAGGGGGTGACTCCAAGGCTGGGCTCTCAGAAGGGACCTGGCCTTTATGGGGTGCTGGTTCTGCTCATTCTCATCCTCCATTGCTGGAGAATCTTGCAACTGTCTCTTGTAGTGCCTTGGTCTGTGTTGAGGGTTTTCTTAAGGTTTTTATTTTGGAGTTCTTTGTCAGGAGACTTAAAGGAGTAGATAATAAGATACTTGTGGCAGGGATTGTCGAACAGCACAGGTTATTCCCGCAACCCTGGAGATATCCAAGCAGCCTGGGAGATGGTCCTAAATAGCCCTCTTTGTGACCACATTTCCATTGCTTCTCCCCCAACCTCATCTCCTTGGTCTGTCCATGGGTGGCCAAGAGCCAAAGCCAGAAAGTTAAGAAAGTGAGAAGAGAGCAGAAATAGACAGTGAGAAAGAGAAGAAAAGAGAAAAAGAGAGAGTGAATTCTTGGAAGAACTCATCACACCATCATTCAGCCACTCGCTCTCTATTCTCATTTACTTGTCAGTCATTTTGCTTCCTGCGTGAGCCAGGCCAGTTCAGGCATTGGTAACACAGAGGTGAGTGGGACAGAGCTGGTCTTGGGGTGGTCAGGGTAGACTGTTGTCATTTGGTGTGACGTTAAGCCCCTATTCCCTTCTTTTCAACAGCAGGAACCTATGAATGAAAGTGGCTAAAAGGAGAGTCCTTTGTTTTTAACGTGTGTTACCCACAGTGTGACCTGTTTTACCCTAGATGTTTTGAGACTAATTATATACCTTTGGCCTCATTACTTCTGTGTCTTTTCCTTTTGTGTAATATGTTTTAGTACAAACCTTTGTCTGAAACTGATGGTGTCAGATATGTGTCGGAATTCAGAATGTTTGGAATTTAGTATTATATTGACATATCTTCTGTATTTTATAACAACCCTGGTAGGGTCTGAGGCAGTACCCTGTAACCAAATCTAATATTTCTACAGCAAAACTTACACATTCTCACAAGAAATGGGATAAATAAAGACTACAAGTAGTATCAGGCCAATTCGACTATGTTCAGGTTTTACCACCAAATTACTTTGTATAATACTAAGGTGAAGAACCTTGTTTTAGAGCTTTTGGGGTTTCAGAATTGCATTAAGCATGTAGCCCTATATTCTCTACCTGCACAGTTGCATGAACAAGGGGATCAGTTCTTGCTTGTATGTTCTGGGAAGAATACCCAGTGTATGACTTGTAGTGTGTGCTCTGTGGAACATTTGTTCCCCAAGACTCTCTGTAGTGAAGGCTGATGTGGTGGAGGTCACAGCATTTTGAAAAAGCTGTGTGATGTGTCCGGTTCTAGGAGACTCACAATTACCCATGTGGGAGTTCTGAGGAGTCAGAAATAAATGGATTTGTTGGTGTTTAACTTACTGTCTTTCCTCTAAGTTTGATCTTGGCCCTCTTTTTGTCGGATGACCACCTGACTATAGAGATAGTATTCTGCAGACCAGTGGCCCTACATCTCGGTTTGCTGGGACAACCCTGGTTTACTCCCATTATCCTGGTGAAATTAAGAGCATCCATTTCATAGTGTGCCCCAGTTTCAGTGATAAATTATATAGTCTTCCTATCCATAGACATTTACAGAATGCATACTGGCACATGTGACTTAGGTTTATCCTCATTTTGTAGATAAGGCAAACATTTTCTGTTAGGGGTCAGAAAGAAAATATTTTAGTCTTTGCAAGCCATACAGTTTCTGTTGCAATTACTCAATTCTGCCATTGTACTATGAAAACAGTCATAGATAATATGTAAATGAATGGACCCAGCTGTGTTCCAACAAAACTTTATGTGCAAAAACAGGTGGTGGGCTGGATTTGGCTTCCAGGCCATAGTTGAACCCTGATGTACATGGTAAAGCTGATGTCTAGAGTTGCATAGTGAAGTCCAAAAGCACATAGCAAATTATTGGCAAAGCTGAGAGCAGATCCCAGATACCCTACTCCCTAGACTGTCACCACTGTATCATTGACTATAGACATCAAGTGTCTCTAAAAGCTCACAGGCATGGTCAGTGAGGCTTTAAGGTTCCAATTAGAAACCCGATATATAGGACCAGATGCAAATGGGTACAGGATGGGGCCACAGGTGGAAGTAAAATGAACAAGAAAATTGACGCAGTACTGGGACAGTCACACCATTTCCATGCTTTTTGATGAGGCATGGAGGGAAAGGACATTTCTGGAGTACCCTCTATGTTCACACCCTATGAGAGGCATGAGATCTGTGCAGTAGCCCCCTCTATTAGGTAGCAACGTGTCCTATCTTCCAACGTAGGAAGCACTATTGGTAAATTCAGATCCCCATAATCTTTCCTAGGTCCTCTGGCTCCAAGCTCTGCTTTGCCTTTAGGGAAAATAGCTTGCCCTTGCTGAGAATCTTCTTCCTAGCTGTGTAATGTTAGCTATATCCTGTCATATT